GTGTATTAAGATCTTATTTGCATTCAAATCATGGATATAAATAATCATGAATTGTGTGTTGCCTGTGTGCATATGCACGTGAACTTCTGAACCTTCTTTTTTTTGGTTGCTCTTTAAAAAAAGGGAGCGGTGAGGGCTGGAGAGTGAAGGGGAGGGTTTATTTCGCTGCTTGCAGCCCCTTCTGTGCAGACTTTGTGGCTCAGCAGTGGAGTCTCTGTGCCTGTGAGTTTGATCCATTCCTTCACTCTTCCCTTGTGCCCCTCCATGTCACCGCACCAAGCGTGTCCCCTTCCTCGGGACACCTTTCCCTGGGTTGCCCTGCGGTCTTCCTTGTTTCAAAGAATGGGGAAACTGAGGCAGCAGCACAGACAACAGGATTTTTATCTGCATTTTGTGGCAACAGTCGCTGCTCATGGAGCGTCTTCCCAGGGTGACCTTGGGGAGAGGGGTTCAGACCCCAGGGTTGGGATGCTCTCATAGGTCCTCGTCCATCTGTCTCAGGTGGGAAGAGGAGAAGAAAGAAGATGGGGTGAAGTGGACCCAACTGGAGCACCGAGGACCCTACTTTGCCCCCGTCTATGAGCCGCTGCCTGACGATGTGCGGTTTTATTACGATGGTATGTCTGCTTTGTGGTGGGACGTGGGGTGTGTGGGGGTATCCTTTGCCTGGCCGAAGAGCTGGTATCTTCTTTTGGGTGGGGGGGAAGTATTGCAGACCACAAATTATTAAAGGGCTTAAACATCCCCTTGGATAAATCCTGAACCCTGAGTTAGAGCTGGGATGTCTTGCACGTGGGTTACTGGGGAGCTAATGAGCCCCCTGCTTCATCCATCCCCGCCCATGAGGAGCACCCTGAGCAGGGTGAGGGCTCCTGTGTGGCTGCCTGCAGCTGGTTTTAGGGTGTTGCAATGCCACCATGTGCAGGGCTGGGATTTGCAGGTCTGCTCCCAGCCTCTCCTGGCTGCAGGACATGCAGTGGTGGGGCCAGACCCTAAGTTTCTCGAGGGGAAGCAATGCGTGCCTGGAATCCTTGCGTTACCTCTTCCGAAGATGGACTGGAGGAACAAAAAGTAATTTACTCATTAAGATGCCTTTAGGGTTTGAGCTTTAAGTCAGCTCGTGCATGGTTTGTCCTCAAAAGCACAACCACGTTTTCCCAGCTTGAGAGCTGCAGTTTGCCTGTTCCATGGCCTCAGTGACTGATGCATCATTTGCCCATCAAGATGTTGCAGGGCTTGGCTGGGCTGCTCCAAGCTCCTGGTCCTGGCTTCTGATGTTGTCCCCAGGGCCACCACCCATCATCTTACAGCAACTCGGTGCATCAGTGAAGGGAGATTGACAGGAGAGGTCCAGGTCTCTGCTGTCCTCCTTGGTTTCCTACTGTACCTGCTGGGCTGTCTCCTCCCTCCTCTCAGCTTCATCCTTGAGCTGTTTTCTGACAGATCAAGGCAAGGAGGCAACAAGAACCTTGGGGCTTGACCAAGTGATGCTGGAGATAGGAGGGAACCGCTGTCCTATGGGGTCTTGGTCTTCCTCAGCCCACTCCGTGGGGCTTCCTATATGTGGCAGGGTTTTTACAGTAGGCAAAAAAAATTGATTTGGGGAAATAAGGTGTCTGTCAAAGCTGTCACCAGAGGGCACTGCTGGGACAACGATGGGGCTGTCGGATAATTCTTTTTTTGGCTCTGTAAGGAAAAGCTCTGGCAGTTGTATATAGTCCTGCGTAGGGTTTAGACATTCTCTGTGGCCTCTGGAGACCCATCTGCATGTTTTGTGCACCAAGGCTGGTGCTTTGGGCTTGGGATCTTGGGTGATGTGGCCTCGTTTGCTAAAAGGTGTCACCATTCCTGGGTGAAAGAGTTGGTTGTGGACAGGCACCAACCCCAGGCAGGAAGGGACCGTGACTGCGCTGGTGTATGTAGGTTGTCATGGGGCTGCTGTAAGGCTGTGACCCACCATGCCCTGCAGCACAGGTAGGGGTCAGGAACCCCAGAAAACAGTGCGGGTAGGATTAAACAATCCACGGGAGCTCTGTGGGGTTCTTTTCCTGCAGCTTGCCTCGGAAAGCTGTTTCAAAGCACTTGGTTTCCTAGGAAGAGCCAAGATGTTCCTTGGATTCATTAGACTTCATTGCTCTAGCCAAAGAGCTCAGGTGAAGACAGAGGTTTTGCCACCTCCAAGAAATGATCCAAGATCCACTGGACAAACACGAGAGGCTCTTGCGTCTGTATCTGTTGCACAAATCTTGGCTTTAGGCTTCCCATGATTGCCCCATCTGTGTGGGAAAGTATTTGAGATAAAACCTCTCCAGGTGGGATTCCGGCTGTGATCATGGTCAGAAAGCAGCCCTCTCCGTGTTGTCCTGTGGAGCCATTAATTTGGGACTTGTCATGGTATGGTGGCTGCTAAAAGTCCCGTGGCTCAGTGACCTTAACATAAATCAGGTTTTCCACTCTCCTGGAAAAGAAAATGAAGTGTGTGGTTGCAGATGGGCTGTGACATCATCCTGGTGTGCCACATGCTCTGGGTACTGATCCACAGGTGAGGCTGTGCCTGGTGCAGGGGGGTGCCAGACTCTTGCCAACGTCTATTCTTAACCCTGGTCGTTGTTTTGGCACTGTGGTGAGCATGGGAACTCGACAAACAACTACCCGGGGTTGTGGGGTTGGGTAACTGATGCTAAAGGTCCCCTCCCTTCCAGGTAAACCCCTGAAGCTGAGCCTGGCAACGGAGGAGATTGCCACCTTCTATGCTAAAATGCTTGATCACGAGTACACAACCAAGGAAATCTTCCAGAACAACTTCTTCAACGACTGGAGGAAGGTACCATCCTGTGAGGGCTTCCTTGCTCTCCACCCTCCACATTAAACACTCAGCATTAAAGCTGTTGTCCCCAGGCAGACCCTAGGCCATAGTGTTGGATGGGGAGGATGAGGACTGTTTTTTGGTGGGTGTTTTTGTGTCCTTTATTTATAAACATATAATTATGAGATTCTAAATTACATGATGATTTTTCTTGCCTCCTGTGAGTTTGGGCTGGGGTTTCCTGTCTGTAACATCCTTGAGGTTGATGCTCGTGCTTCTCTCTGACTCTTAGCGATGCTCCTTAAGAAAGCAGGTGCTGGGTCTTGCAGACAGCTTCACAAATGGGTTGGGGCATGTGTCCCCCCGAAGGATTAACCTCACGCTCCCACAGCACCACCGCTCTCTCCCTAAATAAAAGCAAGACCCCTACTAGGGCAAGTTTGTGCCCCCCACAAATACTTTTGGTGCTGCCTCTGCAGTCCCTGTGGGCTGCTTGCAGGCGTGCCTGGGAACCACTTGCTTCCACAGCAGAGGGTAGAGGTTGCTTCACCCTAGAGTTAGATGAATTTTGCTTGTCTGTGGGTGCAGGCTCGGGTGTCCAGAGGCAGCCTGGCCTCTTGCCATGACAGCTTTCTCCGCCCTTGGGTGGCTAGGATGGCTGGGGGGGCTATCCTGAATTTTCTAAAGAACTGACATGTGGGTCTCCCTGTTCTGTGAAGGAGAGGCATAAGGCAGCAGCCCTGTGCAGAGTCAGTTTTTGTCTCCTGGATTAACCCAGCCCCTCTCATCTCTTCCTCAGGAGATGACCTCAGATGAACAGAAGATAATCAAGGACCTGGACAAGTGTGACTTCAGAGAGATCCACAAGTACTTTGTGGATAAAAGCGAGGCACGGAAAGCACTCTCCAAAGAGGAGAAGCAGGTGAGGACTGTTTCTTGTGATATCTGGGACCGGCTGATATGTTTTGGGACCAGCTTGGGGTATTTTGGCTCCTGCTTGTCTCCTTTCTTGGTGCTATGCCCTTACCTGGGACCCCTTTGGACCTCTTTGGACCAGCTTTGTCTCCACAACCATCACACAGTCTTCATTAAGTTGATCCGCAGATGCTGCGTGTTTCGTGGCTTTGCAGGTACCAGTCATCCTTGGACCATGGTTTGCCCAGAGGATGGAGGACCTTGCTGAGGGGCTGGTGGTGCACGGGTTGTTCCATCAGCATATCATGCTGGGACAGCATCACCATGAGGGTCTGCAAAGTGGGCAGGGATGAGCCGTTTGTTGGGAGTGGGCTTGGACCTGTTCTCACCTCTTCCTCCAGCCCTTTGAGCTCTGCCTTTCCAGCCTTAGGAACGTAGTGATGGGCAGGCATGAGTCTTAGGGTTTTGGTTTCATCCTGTGGGATGGTGCTTGTTTCAGAAACTGAAGGAGGAGGCGGATAAGATCCAGGAGGAATATGGGTACTGCATCCTTGATGGGCACCGGGAGAAGATAGGCAACTTCAAAACTGAGCCGCCAGGGCTTTTCCGTGGCCGTGGTGACCACCCCAAGATGGGCATGCTGAAGAAGAGGATCATGCCTGAGGATGTTGTCATCAACTGCAGCAAGTGAGTTGCCGTGGGAAGAGCTGAACTCATGGGGCTGCTTTTGGGATCGGGGCAAACAGCGCATCTCTGCTGCCTGGAGCTGCCGTGGGGTTTTGTTATCTCCTGCAGTCTCTGCTTTGCTACAGACCTTGAGGTTTGAGCTCACTGGAGCCCTTTTATCACCGGCTGGTCATCTCCAGATGTCTGGTTTGTGTTTAGGTCTGATTTTTAGTTTTTCTGTGGATGTACAATGGCCAGGAAACTGGTCAGCAGCTCCCATCTCTCACTCATGCCCACGCTGTTCACCTGACATCAGCTGCAAACGCTGCAGTGCTCCTATGGCCCCTCTGAAGAAGGGACATCTCTGTATTCCTCCTCTTGTTCTCCTTCCAAATGAGCCGTTTCTCCTCATTTTTGGGGTCCCTCATGCTGGCTAGAAGCATCAGGAAGAGGAATTATCATTCCTGGAGGGAAGAAATACAGTGATTGGGGTAAGAGTGTTTGACCTCCAAGTTACATGAGTGGGATTGGTCTTATGCCACCCATGTGAAGTCTCTGTGGCCTTGATTCAAAAATCCCCCCCAGTCCAGCAAGTTCTCCCATTGTCCCAAGCATCCAAAGGATAAAGAGCTGATCATGTTGCAGAGCAATTTTGGGTGGGCTGTACGTTTTCTGTAAATTGTGCTCTATCTAATGTGTTGACCCTTGTTGGCTTGCTGTGAAGAAGCAGTTGAGCTGCTGAGCAGTTTCTTCACGGTCTGAGGGCTGTAACCCTGCTCTGCCCACAGGGACTCAAAGATCCCTGAGCCACCAGAAGGGCACAAGTGGAAGGAGGTGCGCTTCGACAACACCGTTACCTGGCTGGCCTCGTGGACTGAAAACATCCAGAACACTCTGAAGTACATCATGCTGAACCCCAGCTCCAAGCTGAAGGTTGGAGTGATGCTGCTGTTTAGGCCGAGCTGCTGCCTTTGGGCCCCTGGCTTTTTGCCAGGTGGAAAGATCAGGGGAAAGCAAAGCAGAGATGTGGCACATCAGCAAAAAAGTACTTTCCTCCCCCACCCCCCCCAAAAAAGGGGTGTAAATAAAATTAATTGTTGTGCCATTGAATGGGGAAGGGAAAAGGACAGAGATGGGTATTAAGCATTAAACCTGTTCCAGGGGATGGATTGGCACTGGCAGAGCCATCACTGTGCTGTGCTGGTCGTGTGTGTCCAGGGAAGGCTGTTGAAAGCCAGGCGTGGGCTGAGAGGGCCGGCAGGGACCAGAGTCTGTGGGGTTGAATTAATTTAAACCAGTAAATGGAGGGTGAGGGAGGGGTGGGACCACCATCTGTAGTGCCATAGGAGGGAGGGAGTGAACACTGTGGGGAGCGAAGAGTGATTTAAAGCTACTTCCAGTCCTCAAAGGAGATAAGGAAACTGTGTGAGTTGGGCACGACTGAGCAAGTGCGTTGTGTCAGTCCACGCTGGTGGTGGCCAAGAGGCGGTGGCCATGGCCATGTAGCACTTGACCACTTGATTCCTCACTGGCTGCGTGCTGGCTGCTAGCTGGTGGAGGATGCCTCAGACCATGAGCAGCTCAGACTTGGGCAGAATCCCAGGTCCAGCACAGCCAGGAGAGGGCACAGAAGCCCTAGATGAGCTGTTTCTGCTCTGATTTTTTTTTTTCCCTCTTCATGGATTTTTTTCTCAAGAAAACATGGTTTAAACAGCATTTAGATGCTGGAGGTGTTCTCGGAACAGGGCTTGACTGGTGGGGGTGGAAGGAAGATGGGCCACTGGGTGAAAATGGCTCAGACTCTCTTTCCAGGGGGAGAAGGATTGGCAGAAATATGAGGTAGCCCGGCGTTTAAAGGATGTTGTCCACAAAATCCGTGCTCAGTACCGCATTGACTGGAAGTCCAAGGAGATGAAGAAGCGGCAGAGAGCAGTGGCCCTCTATTTCATTGATAAGGTATCTGCAGCCTCACCCTGGCCACTGGGTCCCCAATCCCTGTTGAGGTTTGGGTTTAGCTTACCTGATCTACCCCAGCCTGTAGTTTTTTTTTGGTTGTACTAGCCAGGGTTGCTCCTCATGAGATCTGGCAATGATCGTGGAGGATGGTGACTCCTACCAGCTGCTGACGCTTGTGTGGGGACACAGCTGTGTGGAGTGCAGGAGCTCTACTGTCCTTCTTGGACTTTACCTGCATGTGTGTATCTGTGTGATGGCAAAGACCCTACTGGGGAGCTGGATAACTTGTGTGTGTGTGGGGGGAGATATTCTGGGGGTTCTTAGAGCACTGCAATAATCTGCTGGAGGCAATCACTGCTTGGTTCCCACCAGAGTCCTTTCAGCCATTCAGTGAGGCACTGTCCTGAGAAAGCTCTTTTTTTCTCCTTGCCCCCGGTGTCCACATCCACTTTAATAACTTGGAAAGGAAAATTGAGGTGGGCTGGGATGGATGACTCTCTATCTCCTTCCAGCTGGCCCTGCGAGCCGGCAATGAGAAGGAGGAAGGGGAGACTGCGGACACGGTTGGCTGCTGCTCCCTGCGTGTGGAGCACATCAGGCTGCACCCTCAACTGGATGGGCAGGAGCACGTGGTGGAATTTGATTTCCTCGGGAAAGACTCGATCCGTTACTACAACAAAGTGTCAGTGGAGAAGATGGTGAGTGGGGTAGAAATGGAGGCAGCGGCCCGTCTCGTGATTTGGTGCTGTGTTAGTTGGGTGGCTCCGTTCATTCACTGGTTGTCAGTCTCAAATCTGCATCTGAAACCTGTTGCAAAGATGCTCCTTGAGCTTTAACACCGTGCTGACAGCACGTGCGTGAGATGCAACAGTGCTGGGGGTTGAAGACACACGTGCTGACCCTGTCTTGGAGAAGGAGGAGGAACTTTTGGGGTAGGGCTTCCAAGGTTGTTCTGTTAACTGCGAGGGAGAAGTCTTCCCTCCTGCTGGAGCATCCTTAGTTGACAGGTGAGCGTTAGGACTTGAGCTCTCCTCACTGATATTTTATGTTTTGCTTTACCCATGGGATAAATGATTTATGGGATAAATTATTTTAATGGTGTTTGTGGGGAAACTGGAGTGCCGGGGATAGCAGAGATCTGGGAAAATGGCCTGTGGCACCGGTGGCATTGAGGTCCCAGAGGCAGCCCTTAAAGTTGAGAAGGTGGGTGGTGTGGTAGGGTGTGTGCTACGAAAGTCTGAATCTGGATGAGGGAGGTGTCTGGGAGCAATTTGCTCCTTGTCCCTGACCCAGGGCCATCCTTTCCTCCTCTTCTAGGTGTTCAAGAACCTGCAGCTCTTCATGAAAAACAAGGACCCGTCAGATGACCTCTTTGACAGGCTCAATGTGAGTTGTCACTTTTGAAACAGCACTGATGGCCCAGAGGGAGCAGGAACAAACCCATGACACCCTTGTCCAGCCTTCAGGCTCCCAGGCTGTGGTGCTGCATCCGTGTCATCCCTTACCCTGGTTTTAACTCCCTCCTCTCCAGAGACACCACTGCAACAGTTTGAACACCCTGTAGGGATGCTGTGATACTCTGTCATCCTCTTTCTGCACTGGTAGCATCTCTGCTTCTCTGGGTGTAGGCTTGGCTACCTGCCTGGACCCATGAGTAACCCATGTCCCTGCTAAGGATGGAGCTTCCTGCTCCTTCCCTCCTCTAACTCATCTGCTTAGGCTTTTTTTTTTTTTTTTTTTTAGCCTGAGAAGGCCTGCCCACGAACATGTTGCTCGAGGCATTGCTGAAGATGTCAAACCTCAGCTGTTTGACGCTTTAGCACTTTGCCTGGGTTCAGCAGAAGCGTGAGAGCCTGCCGGAACACAGGGGCGCTCGAGAGATGTGCAGCAGCCTTCCCTCCTGAGCTACTCCCCTGTAAAAACCTTCTCCCTCCTCTTCCTCAGTATGGGATATGGGGTGCTGCCACACACGCTCCCCCTCTGCCTGCATCCCCTACAAAGCCACTTGCCCCTCTTTCCTCTGAAGAGGCTGCTTCTCTCTGGTTATGTACGATTTATCTGCCATAAGTTTTCTTGGTAAACCTAAGGCTTCCTCCAAACACTGGATGACTCTTCTTAGCATCTTCCATGTCCACTCCAACTGCAGGCTTACGCACTCTGTAAAACAGATATCAGATGTGATACGTGTGAGATGTGGTATTGGGTGCAAAATGGACACAGGCGGGCAGAAATTGTTGACTTCCAGAGAAATGTTTGTGGGTTTAGGTGGAATTTGTGTCACTTTTTGGTAGATGAAGGCCTGACCCGCCAAATAGATCTGCAAGCTACACAAGATTTTTTTTTTTTTTTTTTTAATACCTAATCTGGTTGCTTAGGTAGAAGATGGTCTGAAAACCAACTGATTTATTGTCCTGGCTTCTGCTTGTTCGCTTCCTTACTCCCTCGCTTTGTCCTACCTTCCTTCCTCCAGACATCCATCTTGAACAGACACCTCCAGAGTCTGATGGATGGTTTGAGCGCCAAAGTTTTCAGGACCTACAATGCCTCCATCACCCTGCAGGAGCAGCTCAAGGCACTCACTAACTGTGAGTTACCAACAGGGTTTGTGGTTGTGTGGCCAGTGGGCTCAGCAATGTCCATCGCTGCTTTCCACAACCAGTATTGCTCTCCCCTGAGAAAGGGATGGGACAGGCAAATAACGTCGATGCTGTCGTTCTGGTCTGTTCCCTGCCTTTCCCGCCTTCCAGAAAGGAGACTTAATGCTCTTTCCATTTATTTCCAGCTGAAGACAATGTCGCGGGAAAGCTCCTCTCCTACAACCGAGCTAACCGAGCTGTGGCCATCCTGTGCAATCATCAGAGGTCTACACCGAAAACCTTCGAGAAGTCCATGCAGAACCTCCAGGCCAAGGTGAGACAGACTAAACTGAGAGTCCCCAGACCTGATCTCACCTCTGATCTTTTTTTGGTGGGTGAGGAGAAGGAGGGTGAATAACCTGATGCCTATAGAAATCACATTGATCAAGCATGGCAGGGAAAGAACCAGGAATAGTGTGTTGTTTTGTTTTTGTTTTACTTTTTAAATGGGTGTAGAGACATCAGCAACCCAGAGGTGAAGAGTGATGGGCTAAGATCAAATGCTGGATGGATCACACTTGTCATAGACTTTGTCTTGTTTTTTTTCATCGCTTGGTGACTTCAAACCAAGTTGGGTGCTTTTGTGATGGTACAGCTTTGACGTGGTTGGCGTGAGACCAGGGGAATTGGCTTTCCTGTCTGGCTGCTCGCAGGAGGACAGGCTGAAATTTCATGGGTCTGCTATGGAAATTCCTCAAACGACCATTTTTAATTGTCCCCAGCTTTTGGTCACGTTCTACTGGTGAGCTTGGGACTTTGCAGAGAGCTCCAATGCTGTCATGAGCTGTTCAATCTTGGGCAGTTTCACCAGGTGAACAGAAAAGAGCTGAAAGTGTCTCTGGCATCTGTGCTGTGAGGATCTTTTGCAAGATGCTGAGAGATGCTTGAGCTCAGCAGGTGCTGCAGGGACAAGTTGTTGGGGATGGAGTAGGGCTGGTAAGAAATTGAGGAGTGGTGTGGCAAACGAAAGGGAAAGAGGGAGGCAGCTGAAACAAGGGAGGGCAGGAGCACAAGTTGACTTTGTATTTACCTTCACAGATCGATGCCAAGAAGCAACAGGTGGAGGAAGCCCAGGAAGAGCTGAAAAAAGCCGAAGATGAGTTTGAAGACACAAAAGATGCCAAAGCAGAAGCGTGAGTGACTCTTCCTCACGATCCTTTTTGGCAGAGGGCCTGCAGGTGGGGCTGGTGCAGTCCAACAGCCTACGTGCAGCTCATCAGGGCAGAAATGCCCGTGTTGGGTATTGGGTGCCTCTTGTCCTGTGGCAACCTGGCAGATGGGTGGAGATCTTGTGTATGGTTCCTTGCAACCGTAGGACAGCACAAAGCTCATTTGGGGAGGGGGGGGGGATTTCTTTGGGATAGGGCACACCTTGCCGAATACTGAGACTTCAACCCAAGCTGCTGGATGGAAATTATCCTACAAATGCCTTGGTACAAAGGACGCTTAGCTTGAAGGTGGCTGTGCACAGACTGGCCTTGATGTCTTCCTTGTGGGGTGGATCTTGAGTGATGGATTGTGGCCTGTCTGATCTCTTCTGTGGTCATTGTATGGGATCTGTCCAAAAAATGCTCCCTGTTCCCAGAGCCCAAACGTGACTTAACTGTCCAGAGACAAGAGAAGGCTGAAGAGGAGAAAGAAGGGTTGTATTTTAAGTTTTACTCTGGAGTTTCTTGCACTCCGCTCATGCCTTGCGTCGCTGAGATGCGGAGGAGGCTGTCGGAGATGGTCGCTTCTCATGGAGCCTGGCTTTGAGGAGGAGGTGGTCTCTGCTGGGTGCTGGCTTTTGTACTTGTCCCCACTTTGGTAATAATTCTGTTTTTTAAAGTGTCTTATGAGGTCAATGTACTTGAGAAATGGGTTAGTGGTGAATGGTGTCTTGCACTTTGCCGTTCTGGAGTACTTATAAGGCTCGAGCCTACAGGACTTTGAGTCTAGAGGCTGCTCTGTGCTGAAGCTCATTGACTTCCCATTGTGCTCCCAGACTGTATTTCACCTCTGCTGCTTCTTCCCCTTTAACGTGCTGTCTGTGTTGCTCTTCCTTCTACCCTCAGCAATGTGGAGAAGAAAAAGAAGCTGTTGAAGCGGCTGGAAGAGCAGCTGGCCAAGCTGAACGTCCAGGCCACAGATAAGGAGGAGAACAAGCAGATAGCTCTGGGCACATCCAAGCTGAATTACCTGGACCCCAGGATTAGCATAGCTTGGTAAGTCTTGGGCATGCTACAGGGAAAACGTTCCTTTAGAGACATGCAGATCACCTAGCACTGCCTGGGGAGGGCCATAAACATGTGCCCGAGTCTTTGGAGGAAAGGAATAAACTTTGTTTCTGCCCAGAGAACCTGCCCAAACCCTGGAGGTGTTGGGGGAGGCCAGTAACATCTAAACCTAAGTCTTTCCTTGCTGCAGATAACTGTTTGCAGGATGTTCCTTCTTGGGTTTTTAGAGCAGGAAGGGGGTCACTTTGCATGTCTGTATTGCCAGTGGCCCAAAGTTAACTTTTTAAGGTGCTTGGGGCTAAGGGGTTAGCGTGGGTGAAAGATGCTGTGCCCTGAGCAGAGAGGAGCGCTGTGATGGGCAGCACATCCCCACTGCTCTCCCGCGCTCTGTACAGGTGCAAGAAGTTCGGCGTGCCCATCGAGAAGATCTACAACAAGACACAGAGGGAGAAGTTTGCCTGGGCGATCGACATGGCCGACGAGGACTTTGAATTCTGAGACGATGCTTCTTCTGTTACATCCTGCTCCTTTGGTGCTATGGGAAAGCTTTTTTTTATGTGCTGCTGCAGTCACTGCAGGGGTGGGGCTGGGGGTGTGGGTGTGTGTGTGTCTGATAAAAGCTCTTTTTGCCGCCTTTGTATACCAAGAAAACACCCAGTTTCTAGTTGAAACAGGTATTGCTGACTTGTGACACTCATCCTGACTGCAGTGACTTTGAAGTGAACTTCTAATTCCTCTTCAGAGTTCCCGAGTGCTTTGTATCTTTTCCTCTTCCGGAGTCTAGGAAGAAGATTGAATGAGAGCCTTAATTGTGCTGATTAAACAAGATTAGATCTAATCCCATCTCCTTGATGGAGTGGAGCTGTGCTGCCCTTTACAGACTTTGTGCATTGGCTTTGGGGAAACGCAAGGCAATGGCAGCACCAAAGCAGGGAGCTGCAGTATAAAACCTGGGCTTAGGCCGGGGGTGTGCTGGGAGGAAGGTAAGAAACTCAGGGTTTTACCTGTCAGGGTATTTTGTGCTCTTTTACCTCCAGGAGAGGAGAAAATTGTGCAATTGCACAAACATAATCAAAATGGAAGAAATGTTGTGGGAGGGAGCGGATCACACGGCAGGAGGAGGGAGCAGAGGATGATGCTGGATTAAGGAGCAGGTTTCACACTGAAGGGATGAAATTCACCTTGGCATGAGGTTCTTTAATCACCCCTGTGCGGTTAAACCGTGATCTGAAAGGTGACCTCTCATTTGGGGCTGTATTTATTTTTTTTTTCCCCTTCTCCTACTTACTTCAGTTGGTTCTGGCTCAGCTCACTATCTATAGCAGAAACGAAACCGTCCAGCCCCAGCTTTATCACTGGAAAAGGATGATGCTGGTGGTGGGGCTGGGTCAGACTACGGTGGGCTGTGAGCATGCTGGGGGGGTGGTACCAATCTTGCTGGAGCTGTGCCTGTGTGGGAGGACAGCTTTGCCATCATGCTGCATCCTTGCCAGTCTGCTCCCGCTGGGCATGGAGCAGGCAGGGAGGGGTGCTATAAGCTGTTGCCTAATTTGCTGCTCTTCAGAGGGGGGGGAAAAAAAAGTATCAGTTTGTACCTGGCAAACAGTTAACCTACATACCAGTGAATCTCAGGTGTAAGCAAGCTGTTGCATTGGCAGCAAAGCCTTCTGGCATCTTAGGGTTGATGTTCAGGTCGCTACGGCCCAGAGCTCTCGGTGCTACCCGTGTTGTTCACTTACAGCCACTTGTTCTTGTGTTTATTGCTATTTTGGTTGGAAGTCAGGTACTTGAAATGCATTTCATTAAAACTGGAAGTGATTTTTTTTTTTTTTTTTTATTTTTTTTTTTTTTTTCTGAATATCGGCGACTGGAGGCTTTTTGCTGCTCCATCCAGTATGTGGTTCCGCTGTGAGCGGATGGGCTCAGGTCTGAGCCAGGGCTCAGTCTCTCTAATGGGGTCTGTGTATGCTCAGCTGTCTGCAGGGGATCAGATTTGTTAAGCAATCCTTTGCCTTCGAGCAAGGAGTCTGCTTGCAGATCTCAAAACCCATTTGTGCTTGGTCCCTAAGGGCCTGGATGCAGAACCGAGCCACCAAAATTGAATTGCTGCGTGATAGTGGAGTCATGACAAATGGAAGGGGAAAAGTACAGGTGAAGCCAGTGCTGGTTTATCTCGCAGCCACACAGGGGTGTGCTCTACCACTTGGCTGAGATGTGACAGCTTATGAAACTCTAACTGGACTGTTCCTGCGAGCCCCAAGAGCTCACGTTGGTTTTAATGAGGCAACTGACTCCTAAACTAGGGATCTAAATCAATCTGGTGGCAAATTTGTTTTTCTGGCAAATGTCAACCAGTTATCAGCTGCACAAGCAACAGGCAGGAGCTGCCAAGCATGCCTTGACCCTTGTGTTGGATTCGTACCCGTGAAACAAAGGGAACCAGTTTGGTCCCAGTGGATGGAAATGGTTTTTCTGCCCACCCCCCTGAATGCTTTCTGGCTTTTAATAGAGGTGAAAGTGAATATTTGCCACTAACTCTTCCATCCTAAATAAGGGAGTAATTCTAGCCAAGCTCCTAGTGAAAGAGTGCTCCTGTTTTCCAGTAGCAGCAAAAAGGAGCAAGGTGCAATTGGATGAACACTATTGGTGTTTTCATTGAGCCAAAAGATTTTTTTTTTTTAAGTATTTCCTAGAGGAAAAAAAGTCTCAAGCACCATGTGAGAGAGAGATGCTGCATTAGTAAGCAGTTTGAACAGCTGCTGGGGGAGCAGTGGAAAATCACCCCAGAAAGCAAATCCTACTGCAGCTTTGGGGGGGAAATAAGTTGGTCTTTGGCCTCTTTTTCCATCAGTGCCGTGACCCTCTGATGGGTTAATGGATGGAAAGACTGGGCAACTGCTGTCCCACATGGTCCTTCCCATCCTCACCCTGGTTTTGCTGAGGCAGCGGAACCACCAACTAGGTGTTTGGTGATATTTCATGCTTCCAGGGCTGGGCTTGCCTCACTAGCTCCGCTGTCTCTATTGAAGCATCCTGCTTCTCTCCAAAAGGCCGTGCTTGGAGAAAAGTTGAGGCAGTTCAAGTCCACTCAGAGCTCAGCTACCGAGGCTGGAGGCCTCGTGTTTGCCTCCTGCGCTGCAGCAGATGAGGAGGGCCAGGCTGGCAGACAGGCTCTGTGCAATACTCAAGGACTCGCTGGCCACGCTTGGGATGTCGGGGCTGCAGGGACCTGCCAGTGTCAGCTAAACTGTAATTATTGGCTATTCTACGGGAGATTCAGTGAAGCATCCTTTTCCCCAAAGGGTGTGTTGCCCTGTAAACCAGTTCTGTAGGGCTTGACTGTTTCTGTCAAAAAGCTCAGCAAAGCCAAGAGTAGAAATCCAAGTGGATGGGAGGTATGAAGCAAAAGCAAGGTGGAGAGTTTGTGTTTTGCCAAGTATCAGATAACCTGTACCGGGCTGGGTAACGCATACGTGAAGCTTTAGAGAGGCTGATAAGTCTGGGGAGTGTCCTCTTGGCCCTTAGCCATAAGCAAGTGAGGTACAGGTTGGAGAATCCGAGCTGCTCACCATTGACATCACAGGGGCACAAACCAGTGGTCTGGCCTAACGCCCAATCTGTCAGGGATTTTTTCCACTGCTTAGAACCCTATGGAGCAGGATGATGCCCCCATCACAGAAACCTCAGAGTAGGATCCCTCTCCCAGCCCAGCTTGGGGTTATTTGGTGACTCCAGATAAACCCTACCTGCCTTAGCCCTTGCAGGAATGTTTTCCACTCAGCTTCTCCCACAAAATGTCTTTTTCTGTAGGCACAGAAGTCTGTGCTTTGATGCCCAAGACACTTGGTAGACCAAAGTCAAGACGCTAGCATTTTTGTCAGCATTTAACTAATAAAACGCAAAGTTAGAAGTTTAGCATTTTTCCCTTGCAATGACTTCCTTTTATTTTAAAGAAGGAAAAAAATAATCACAAAACCAAAAGATTTGGTTTTAGGCAGAACCAGAAGTGGTACTTTCCCCTGTAACTTCTGGGGTTACCAATGTGTTTTTCGTAAGAGCCTCTTGTTCATATTGGTTGGGAGGAGACCTCGAGGCAAATTTAGGAGGAACAAAGCTGACGGCTCATGCTGATACTGGGATGGGTTTGGGGCTGCTGTAGTTACATAATGATCCTTAAAAGTCCTTCTGGGGGCTGGAGGGTTTGTCTTCCTGCCTGCAGGCTGAGGGTGCCCTGCCCTGTGTGATGGCACAAGAACAGCTCTGATGCTGTGGCTGTCTGATAAGATAAATCTCTGGGTGGTAGGAGGTAGGGAGAAGTTCCTCTTGCCTTGTTTTGGCATCTGCTGCCCATGCCCAGCCTCTTCCCAGAAATGCTGAGGTTGGGAAGGTTTCTGGAGGGCTCGGGTCCAACCTCCTGCTCAAAGGAGGGCCAACTTTGGGTTGCTCAAGGCTCCAGCCAAACTCCAAGATCAGCAGAGAGGAGGGAGATTCTTCCACTGTATCTCAGGGTCCCTGTTTAGGCAGTTAATCATGGCCCCAGCAAACTTTTTTTTTTTTTCTTTCTTATATCCTGTTGTAACTTACTGCATCTTGTAACCAGCTGCTTGTTTCTCTGTGAACCTTGGAGGAAAGTCTGGCTCTGGCCTCCCTCTAGCCACCCCTCATTAAGTAGCTGAAGGCAACAACTCCATCCCCTCTTATCCTGCCCCCCTCCAGCCTGCCCTGTTGCGTGGGGACATTCAGCCCCACGTCTGGGACTTTGAGCTTTACCTTCCACCAAACACCAGCCTGCTGAACCTCAGAGGGATGCAGTAGGACCTTGCAGCTGAAGGAGGTAGGACCGTCTCATTCTATAGCTTGGGGGTGACCAAGCAATACCTGTCCCTGCACAAGAGGTTGGTTGAGCAGCTGGAGGCTCTGATGGAGCTCTGTCCCTGCCTGTTGCCTCTTCATCAGCATCCTGGAGAGATGGGAACATAAAGCCCGCACGTTGGTACCTTTTGCAGGCGCTAAAGCCCTCAGTCGGACTGAACTGTGCTCATCAGAAACCTTCCCACGTCGTGCTTTCTCCTGGGGATGAGTCAAGCTCTTGATACATGGCCAACAGATTATTGATCCTTGTTGATGAAAAAAAACGCATCAGCCTTCTGTTTCTCAAAGCTGCTTTCTGTGGCAGCGGGGCTGGCAGCACTGCTTCCCTGCCCAGCGGGGATGCATGGGGTGGAAGAGGGGTCCTGGCAGGTGATCTGAGGAAGGGCAGTCATCAAAGTTGTTTAGTTGCTCTTTCATCTGCTTAATGACAGGGCCTTTGCTCACCTGTAGGTGGTTCGGAGAGATGGGCTTTTTGGCTGATTCATCTTAATTGGTGCAGAGAGGGAAGTGGGTGTGATGAAAACTCCTCAGCGAGGAGCGTTTGCTGTAGAACTGCTGCTTATACTCTGCCTCTGCTCCCTGGTGAGTGATCAGATTAAGGGGAAAACAAAACAGCTGTAGGCTGGCAGACATGTGAGAGGTGGGAAACTCCTGTGGGGATGTGAGGAAGAGAAATGTGAAAGGCTTCCAGAGGGTTTTTTCCTCCCCTCGTTTCTTCCCTTGAGGTCTGATGTTGCAAAAATGAGAGGGAAAAAAAATAGGAGAAATAGAACAGAGATTTTTTTTAAAGAGAAATGCTTTTGTCAGTATGGATGAAAGGGGTAGAACAATATTTAAAATGAGATTATCATAGAATACCAGGTTAGAAGGGACCTCAAGGATCATTTGGTCTAACCTTTCCGGCAAAAGCACCATCTAGACAAGATGGCCCAACACCCTGGGCAGCTGAATCTTAAAAGTGTCCAATGGTGAGGAACCCACCACTTCCCTGGGGAGGTTATTCCCATGGCTGACTGTTCTCCTTGTGAAAAAATTTCATCTTGTGTCCAGTTGGAATCTCCCTGGGAGTAACTTGTACTTGTTACACCTCATCTTTTCCGTGTGACTCCTTGCAAAAAGGCAGTCTCCATCTTCTTTGTAGCCACCCTGTAAATACTGGAGCATGGTGACAAGGTCTCCCCTAAGCCTTCTCTTTTCAAGGCTGAACAAACACAGTTTTCTCAGCCTTTCCTCACGTGGCAGGTTTCCCAGTCTCCTGATCATCTTTGTGGCCCTTCTCTGGACCCTTTCCAGCCTGGTCACATCTTTTTTTTTTTTTTTTTTTTTTTTTTTGTGTAGCAGGGACCAAAACTGAGCACAGTATTCCAGGTGTGGCCTGACAAGTGCTGAGTAGAGTTGGGTAATGATTTAATCTCTGCTGGCGATGCCCTTGTTGATGCAGCCCAGCACCCCGTTGCTCTTCTTTGCTGCTGCAGCACCCTGGTCACTCCTACTGAGCTTGTTGTCCACCAGGACCCCCAGGTCCCTTTCCACTGCCGTGCTTCGGACCCTCTATCTCTGAGCAGAAGGAATAAGCACAAGGAATGAACACATGCATTTCCTTTTCCAGCACAGTTTAGCAGAAGAGAAAATCCATGCTTGTGGTTTGGCATAAGATGAGCTTAAGGAGTTCCCTGGGTTTACCCAGTTGTACTCGGTGTCCATCAACAGTCAGTCCAATTCAGACTGCTGTAAAACAAGCTCAAACTGGCCTGACGTTAGCCCTTGCCACGTGGCTGTAAATGCTGCACCGGTGATGCCAAGGAGAGTGGCTGCAAAGGAAAGGAAGCGATTAACCTATGAGAAATTGGATCCCGGTAATAAAATGAAGGACGGTTTAATGAGGGAGACAGAGAAGGCTTTCAAGGCAAGGATCGATGCCAGGATATCAAGTTTGTGTCCTCCAAAGAACTGGCACTTCTTCTGTGTAGCTGTGAAAGGGGGATGGCTGCCTGTCCTGGATGTCCCACAGGGAGTAAGTAGATAACATATAGGCTGGTTCTTACTACAGCTTCTTTTTAGTCATTAATGTGATATTTTTGGCTAGCTCAACATGTGCTACTCGAAAGGAAATAAAGAATCAGGAGGAGCTCAGCTTGGCTTGTGCCAGGCTCTGAGAACAGCTTCTCTAGACCTTTAATCCTGAGCCCCACTGCAAGCTGGGACTTGAGGAATTCCAATAAATTATTTAATGAATATCCTTAATCCAAGTCTGGATTAAGTGTCAATTACGAGTGATTGTCTTGACTCAGAGATAAGCCTTTGAATAACTGCTTTCATAGCTGCAGGAGGGCTCATGTGTTCCTTCTGCTGCTGTGAGCCCGAGAAGAGCGGGATGTGAAGTCTTTGCAAACTGAGGCAGCTTCCAGTGGTTCCCTGGGGTTGTCCCTGTATTTCGGGATGGTGAGGCAGACAGCTGATGCCTTTTTTTTTTTTTTTTAAAGCTGTTCTGTGTCATCTCTTCCATCTCTTTCTCAAGCCATAGCTGGACTCTTCAGCTCCTGAAGGCTTAGTTTGCCCAGGTGGAGAAGAACGGGGTGGCAATTATCGCAACTGGTTTTGATTAGGGCTTGTGTTTCCTTCTTAGCCCCCTCAGCACAAACAGTTCCTGACTTTCCAGAGTTCATTCCTGGTGCTGCAAACCCCACTTCTGTTGGAGAAAAGACCTGGAGGGGTTAAATCTCTGCTACCTCCTTTCCTGTGCGTCTTTGGACCCAGCACTGTCCTCATGTTTGTGTGGAGGATTCCCCACAAAACCAGGCGTGGGATGACCTTGAGTGCCTGCAAAAGTAAATTCTGCTGGTTGAGTTTCCAGGGATGAGATTTGAAGGCAGAGAGGGGAGGTGAAGAACTGAACCCAGCAGATCTAGCCTCTCTTCCTAGCCCAGGCATGTGGCACAATCCTTTTTTTTTTTTTTTTTTTTTTTTTTTTTTTTTGATTCAGCTTCTATTCCTTCTTCCTTGGGACCTTGTATGGAATGGCTACAGCCTCATACCTCAGTCAGCTTTCTGCTTCATCCCTGGGTCACCAACCCCAGCTTTGTCCTGATGCAGTCATGTGTGCCACACGAGCATGCAATGGGGTCTTGGCAGTGCTGGTGAAGAGCTGAGTATCTTTTCTTTTGGCATGTGGTCTGTGCTTTGGTCATGATTCCTTTCATCCTCCTTTACTGCTCTTAGTTATGCTTGGTTTAGGCTCACTTTCCCTAAAGCCAGGTGGGCAGGACTTGGAGCATGGCCCCTTTAGCAAGTGACATGCCTGGGCTCTGACTGCAAAACCCTTGACCCCTTACTGTGCAAATAAATAATTTTTCTTTCCCCTTTTTTTATATTATTACCTTTGAAAGAACCTCAACATAAAGTTGTGCTGAGTTGTCCCCACGGGGTGCCTTCCTGTGTGCTGGGTTAAAAAGCGCCGGTCTAAACCAGGAGGGATAATTCTATGAATAAAATGGAGAATAACTCCATCCTGTTTTTTCCGCTTCGAAAGTATAAGACAAGATGGTTTGATATCCTTAAGCACTTCAGTTTGGTATTACCACTGCTACTAACAGTAAGTTTAAAACTGAGTTTGCAAGACCTCGGGATTGAGTCTTGTTAGGTCTGCTCTTGTTGAGCTTGTCTTGACCTGCCTGAGGCTTTTGGTTTTTTTTTGTTTTTTTTTTTTTTTCAACTTGGCTGAGTGGTAAGACGGACCCAATGGCTGTGGTTAGTTTGTTTTACTTTTGTGTATCTCTGTATAGTGCAGCCATAGGTTTATATAGACAGCAGTGGCAAGCTGTTATTTTGTTTGGAATGAGGTATTTGACTCTGACCCAAGGACATAATGTAGAAAAACTCAGGCTTGGTACAAGACCAAAGGTCTTGAGAAGTGGAGGTGTGGGATGTGGTGCAGAGAAGTGCAGGTGTGGGGTGATGAGGTGGGACCTGGGCTGGAACTGGAAGCACCTCAGCTATAAACCACTCAGCTGAACAAACGCAGACCTGGAGCTGGACTAGGCTGGTTTTAGGGGTAACAAGTAGTACAAAAGTAGTACCTAACATACGTAGAAGGCGCTGCATATAGTAAACTGATATGTAACACGCAGCTACAGACCAGTGAAAAAGCATGTAAAAAAAACCCCAACTTACCAAACGTAATTAAAATGACCCTGAGTGAATCCTGGTGAGAGGAAGGAGCAGCCATCACTGTGAACATTGTTTTTTTCCTGCCACAGATGTTGACAACTCAGTGTAATGCCACCAGCATGAAACACTCGAGAGTGGGAAGGGTGAGCATAACACCAAGAAAAGCGGTAGAAACCACTAAGTGCGTGTAATAAATTTAATAATAATAATAATAATATCATTCTGCATACAATTATTCTTTGTTTTCATACAATCCAGACCAACACTCATTTTTGGATGACAAGATTTCAATTATACTAATGGTGTATGTACACACGTTCACGGTGTGCTTTCTCTTTGTCCGTGAGGAGGTTTTGAGGCTATAGCAGTGGCACGTGGCGTCTTTCTCTGCTTCTCTTGGGTTCCCCTCATCTTGCTGGTACCACACCCAGCTTAGAGTTGTGGCAATGGAACGGGTAGAGCAGCACTTGGGCCACGTCACATGAGGGAAATATGTGTAGCCACAGAGGGAACAAGCTCCCTAGTGCTGATACAAGGCACTAGGCTTGATCCCGACTAGGAAACCGAAGATTGACGTCCCGGTCCTCAAAGGTGGCTCCTTGCTGAACCCAGCACGCATATCCCCTTTTCTCTAGGACCAAGGCCCATCATGCAAGCCCAAGAGTCGCCTTCCCCCTTCTGGTGGCCTTGCTTCCCCCTAGACTGGTCACCACTTCCTACCCACCTTTTATCTCCTGCCCTCTCTCAAAGAGGAACTGCTGCTATCGGTAGCAACTGCTTTCCTTTGGGCTTATTCTGAGGTATTATGTGACATGCAGTGTGCTGCCTTTGCCTGAGAGCGACTCGGACAGCAGATGTGCGCGCTGGGTCCCTGTGAGGTTCTGCAAGTATGTGTCTGTCCCCTGCTCCGGGCTGTGCAACACATAGATTGATCTGTGTCATCCTCTGTGTTGGCCACCCTCTCAGCTACACGACCCCGCGGAGGGGTGGGAGCTGCTTCCCCCGAAGACTGTGCAGGCAGGGAAGAGCAAACAGAGATGAGGGCTCTCCTGATGGTGTGTCTGGCCGCTGTCCTCTGCGTGGAGGTTGGTGAGTTGTTCAGGATTGCTGCAAGGCTTGGGCTGGGCTGGAGAGAACCGGCATTTTCTAGGGAGAAGTCACACCTGGAGTTTTTAAGTCCAGTGGTCTTTAAGAAGTCAGTAGATAATGATAGATAAAGGGTTGGTCTCCACAGTCAGCTCTGCCTCTCCTTTGTGCTGTCGCACCTGTCAGGATTTGTGCAGTAGACGCACTGCCTTGGGCTGCCCGCAGAGCAAGCCAAAACCTTCCCCAAATCTCACGATGTGCCACCGGTAAGAAGAGCCCTTTGGGTTTCTCTGCAAAGCCAATCGCTTCTGGAGATCTGCAGCTAATGATACACTCCTTGGATGGGGTTGCAATTAAGCTTTGAGCTAGAAACTGAGTGCAGCCTTTACTGCTCTTCCGTCCCTGTGACCGTTTGCTAAATGCTGTGATGGGGTAGTTGAATATCAACATCCCCAGAGAGTCTCTGCGTCCCACTCCCCTGGAAGGAGAGTTTTTCTACAGGGTAGTGTGTGCTTAGTAATTCCAGGCATGGGATAGTAGAAAGGGTAGAACTGGCTCAGCTAAATCCTTTGTCTTATTCTACGTCTGCTGGTCTGCACAGGGACATGTCCAGCTGAGGAGTTTCTTGCTTTTGACCTCATGCAAATCATTTATGTTCCCCTCCTGTAGCTAACTTGCTGATGTGCTACACCTGCACCAACCAGACCAGCAATGATCAGTGCCTGACAACTTCCCCATATACCAAAAACGAGACAGCCTGTGCGACTATAGTTGAGGAGAAAGGTGCTGGTGAGTCCTACTGTCATGATCTGCCTGGGCTGTGACCTCCCAGTTGTGCTGCCCAACGCTCCTGTGTCCCAGTCCAGCCCTGCTCCCAGTGGCTCTGTGTCCTTCCCCGCTTCCTGCTCCAGTGTACTCGGGTGTAAAACATTTTCCTTCCATGGGGCTTTGGGAGATCTTGAATAGTGTTGGGTTACAGATCAAAACAAATTATTTCTTTGCTTGAGCAGCGAGGCAGAGGGTGGTTAAATGAACACCACAGCCCACGTAGACTTGGGTGATCTCACATGCTGCTGACAGAGTAAAGTCAGGATTTGATCTTGGGAGAAAGATTCATGGGTTGGTTTTATTTGATTTATTTATTTATTTATTTATTTTTAATCCAGGCATTCACCAACAGAAGTTGATCAGCAAAAACTGTGTTTCGGCTTGCAGTGCGTTTCAAGACCTTTACGAATGTTGCAGTCAGGATAACTGCAATCGCAGCGAGGCATCTGGGATGTGCCCTCCCACGCTGGTGCTGGGATCTGTAGTTCTGGTCAGTGTTGCCAGGCCCCTTCTCTGGACTGGACTGTAATCAAGTCCCTGTTGAATAACCCACGCAAGCTGCTTTAACCCATCCTGGTCCCCCAGCACCTCCAGTCGTTTTGTCCTTCTGTTCCCAGAATGTCTTCTGAACATCTGCTGTTCAGGCACGGGAAGGCTAGCTTGAGCCTGATGGAGAAGAGATCTCTGTTTTTCTTTTATCACTTCTCATGCAACAGGACTCTGCAGCCACCATTTAAAAAAAAAAAAAATCTTGGAAATGTTTATTGAGTGCTGACTCACAGCAAGACTGGAGTTTTGCCAGCAGCATGGTCAGGTTGTTCATGCAATTAGACAGAGTGCTAAACAAATGGAGGTGAGTAGGAGGATACAACCCTGATCAGCACAGACCCAGATCGGAGTGTGTCTCTTACTGTTTCAGCCAGGCAGAAATTGCTGAACGCTTATAGAAAAGGTATGGAAAATAATGAACTTGCAAATTCAGCGGTGGTGTTCTACTTTGCTGTCAACAGTCTGGTCCTGACGAGGTCTGGGACAGCATAGGGAAGGCATGTTGGCAAATGGGGACAGCTGGTGCCCGTTGTGGAGCTGAGCTCTCTTCCTCCAAAATCAGGTGGCTGAATCCAAAATACCAGTAGATCTGAAATTGTCAGGGAGGGTCCTAGTTAGTGAGGCCAGAGATGTGCTGAGGAGCAGACTAACAATTAACGTGGGCAACTGTACATGGGCTCTCCGTGTATTATTGGTAGACGTAGACATAGCTGCCTCTCTGAGAGCTCTTCTGCAGCATGGTTTCAGCCCCAGGGCAGCTGGAAAGGCTGGTGACCTCCTTCGGAGCTTGTGACACCTTGGCATTGCTGCTGGATACCCCTGTTAATGCCCCCAAGTACAGGTATGATCCTGTATGTAACTTAATCCAGACCCAGATGTGACTTTGGCAATACACGAGTCCCAGAGGCACCATAAAATCAGGTGACAGTGGTAAACACAGATTTAGGATGCCCCTGGGGCACTAATTCCCTGTCATGCTTGAGAGGAAGCCAAAGGGCAGGTTCTCAGAAGGATTTCAACACCTTGGTGTAATCTGGCCCTAGGCTGCTCTGTGTTCTTGAACTTGAGTATTTTTGCCCCACAGTGGGACAATCAGGGCCAGTCACCTTCACCCAGGCATGGGGTGTGCACGGGAGGTGGGGTAGGAGCAGCCACAGGGTCCGAGTCCTTCAGTGATTTGGCATGCAAAGGGTTTAAGCCCATGTTACTTTAGAGTAAACCCATCGGTGGGATTAGCTCCAAATTCACCTTGGCTTCCCTAGGAGTTAAGCACTGAAACATCTTTAGAGGTGGGGACAGATCTGTGTCAGGGTGATGGTGGTGACAAGCTGTCCTGATTCTGAGATCACCACGACCAGGAAGGATATGAGGAACGAGCCCTGCAGGATCATCTATAAGTAAATCCCCAGGGAGGACAAAGATGGAGAGAAAGAGCCGGAAGGAAAAAAAAAAATCTTTATTCAGCCACTGTCATTGAATTTAAGCCTGGGAAGAGCTGGAGGCTGCCCTCACCTAGAGGATGCTCAAAACACAGGCCTGTGTCAGCATTTCCTAAGGTAATGTACAATCTGTTATCTTCCCTGCCAAAAACAAGCGGTACCATGTTGACCTGGCTTCTTCCTCCCCCCATAATCCCACCCATATGGGTGGGGAACGCGACAGTGTTAAATTCTGCGGTTACTTCAACGGGTTTTATTTAGGGCTGGGAAATCCCTGGTGGTGCAATCATGGGAGTCACTGGGGTTGGGAAAGTCCTTTTAAAATCATCAAGTCAAGCCTATCACTAAACCATGCCCCTAAGCACCACATCTACACGTCTTTTAAGCATCTTCGGGGATGGTGAGTCTACCACATCCCTGGGCAGCCTGTTCCAGTGCTTGGCAATTCTTTCCATGAAGAAATTTTTCCTAATATCCCGTTTGACCTCCCCTGGTGCAACTCGAGGCTGTTTTCTCTCATTCTATCACTTGTTACCTGGGAAGAGAGATCAAGGCCCACATTATGCCTGATGCTGAGAATCAATTCTGGCCTGGTATATTAAGAACTGGGTGGGAAACAGCAATACATACAGCTTGGGATGATGCTGGGATAGATGGAAATATTTGGGAACCCTCCAAGATGCCGCCTAAGGAGTGATGAGACAGATGTCGTGCTCTGACCACAGGGAAGCTGAGCAGCTAAAAACTTCAGGACAAATAAAAGGAAGGGATCCTATGACACCAAGATGGTCTGTCCCTCCTCACTGATGTGGTTCCATATGTGGCCACTTGTTCTAAGGCCTTTCAGGGGAAGAGCCCAGTATGCGGCTCCCAGAAGCTGGGCAGATCCCTGGCTGACTTCTGTTCGTTGACTTCTGATTGTTTTCCATCCAGGAAGACTCAACAGCCGGAACAGTGCAGAGGGCAGCCAAATGCAGCCACGTTTACTAACCAGCTCTAACACAACTGTGTAGTGCGGTGTGGCACAGCCAAGAGTAAAATCGGGGAGCAAGCTCTCATCCTGAAGGATGTGATTCACGTGCCTGAAAGGGTCTGATCGCCAAGGCTGAACCTAAGCAAGGGAAATAAACAGTTCCTGGGAACAAGCCCTGACCTGTATTATCATCCACAACATCTAATTAATCATTTTAATTGCTAGCATGTTCCCTGGCAGAGCTTTAACATGGACCAACTGCCATAGTCCCATGCAATGTCTGGGAAAAAAAAACAACAGGGGAGAGAGCACAAGGGAAGGACTATTCACAACAAGCACCGTTGATGTCCACCGCTTGGCCTCCGGGGTGGAGATGCTCCTGGACACATTTAATTTACTGCTTCATTTTTGCTCTGTGGTGTTGGATACTGGGGTAGTATCCAATATTTTTGCAGCTCTCTGCTCTGACCCAACCAAGCACTGCCTTCCGTGATGCTTCCCTGTGTTGGCCATTCCGGGTGCCACGACCACCCTCAGTTTCCCATCTGCCTCTGAGGAAATTCCAGCCGCTGCAGTCCCACGCCTCACACACGTGCATCAGACGTACCTAAGGCCGGGATGGTAACTTCCCAACTATCTGGCTCAGTGGGCCGCTGGCAACCCTCGAAATGCTGAGTGACCCATGGTGCACCCCTGTCCATCATCACGCTTGTCCATCAAACCACTCCTGCCTGCAGAGCAGTGGTGGACCACTTCCTCTGGCCTTGCAGACCGTCTTCCTGCTGTCAGGGAGGAGCAGATTTGAATCCTTGGACCAGGTGCCTCTCCTCCAGCTCTGTGTCAGAGGAAATGTTCACGCCATCAGCCCTTAGAAGTGAGGGAATAAACTGAGAGAGACATGTTTGTGTTTTTTTTTTTTTTTTTAAAGTAGAAATGCACATTGTTAATCCTACTGAAGAGTAACACACTTGTTTTTTCCTTCTGCCTCAAAAAAACCCCTCAGTCAAATCTAGTTGTTAAAGCAAACTGCTTTATCAGTGTAGACCTTTGCCAACGTGCTCCTGATGCTGCAGGACACTGAGCCTTGGCTTCCCAGGCTGATTTCCAGACTCCCCTGAAAACTCAGCCCTGCAAGAGGACGCCACGCAGTGGATCACACCGGGCAATCCTTATTCGTTGAAATAGCTCTTCGGTGGCTGCCTCGTGACACCTGGGAGGGCTGACACACCTTCTCTGGCATCCGTGGTGGCGTGTGGAGCCTGGGTCTGGCAGAGCTTCATCTGTTGGGCAAGCGGTGGGGCTTAGCCTCTCCACGCCCAGCAGGTGTAGGTCCATCAGCAAGGAATGGTTAGTGCTGGGGGGCATTATCAGAGTGGACTTCACCATCCTGTTGGTCTTGCTTTGTGTCAGGTGTATTGGCAGAGCCAGTGGTTTAATGCTGGTGTCAGAAATATCTGCAAACCAGCAGAAAAAAAAATCTCACCTCTCTTTTTTTTTTTTTTTTTTTTTTTTTAATTGAAAAGAAAGACACTGTGGGTTTTTGGTGTCCCTTGAACTTCCTCTGGCCATGCCTTCGTTGTGATGAGCAATGATTGGCCCCATCAGATGCTCTAAATGTCTCTGATGAGCATCACCCCTGCTTCAGGGATGCCTACTCACCCGACTGCACTACCCAGAAACTAATGTTGGCCCCCAAACATTTTAGCCCTCCCCTCATCCACCTCATCTCTTTCTTCCACATGTTTTCTGAGCTTCTGCCTCTTCTCCTTCTTCATCTCCATTTTCTAAACCCCAGGTTGTGTCGCTGCATCTGGGTCTCTGGTCTCTTTCCTGCAGACTGTGTCTTGCAGAGTGGAGAAGGAAGGGGCGAGCAGAGAGCTGATTGCCCAAGCAGCTTTATTCAGAGGGGCTGCTCCGGCTTCATCCCCTCTGCTCTTTGGTGAGTGGTGACTCATGGAGATGTCTGCTGATATCCAGCACCAAACTTCCTGGTAACTCTTACCTTGGAAGCAGAAGTGGGACAGGCAATCAAAAGGAGGCCCTAGAAGGGCTGAAATTATCAGCTCCAGCTCCACCCACATGTAAGCAGGCAGAGAAATTGTAAAGGCTGAAAACATTATACCTGGCTGGCATCTAGCAGGACTTTGAATCGGATGCTGTACATAGAATTGGGACAAAGATATTTTTACCTTTTGCTCAGATGTAGCGAAGGAAAGCTGTTGCAAAGCTGGAAACCAACCTCAGGTGTCCTGGTCTCTGCATTTGAACCCCCAAAGCTGTCGCTCTCTCGCAGCAGCTGCTCTCAAGACAAGGATGCAGAGCATTTAGGACTTTGTAGGGAACCAGCAGTGAAATTATAAGACATTTCCTGTTTATACTGCCAATCGTGAATACGTAGCTAGAGCTAACCTGGCTGTAAATATCGGGAGTTCTCCAGGTCTAACCCTGGAAACGCACTTTGCAATAATCCACCCAGATGAAGCCATTAATTTATGCAATTTACTACCATTTAGCGTTGAGTAGCTGCCTTCACTCGGCTATCTGGCCACAGGTGCGACGATCAGATTGGAGCTAAACAGTACAAAAGCCCCGCTCAGCCTTCAGTAGATAAATTAAAGTATTAAAAGCAATAAATGGAATGAATTGCCTCAGTGCTTTCACTCCTCTCTGGACCCATCAGATCAGCCTGAAGGCGACACCGAGGTGAGAGAACAACCCACATGCATTCCTTACCTCTCAAATAACGCGTGATCCCTGCCCACTCTTTCAAAATCGTCTTCATCATCGCTCGGTCCAAACGCAGGGAAGATATATATCCCGTCCCCAGGTGAGGGTGCTTTTTCCGGACTGCGGACACAACTGAGAAGATGAAGGCTTCCCTCCTTGCCGTGCTGGCTTTGATCCTATGCGCAGATCAAGGTGAGGTGTCACGGACAAAGAATAGTTGAGTTTTTTAAAGTCAGGGAGGCCTTGCAGCCAGGGAAAGGAATCATGGGAGAGGGTGCCTTAGCTCTTGCAATGGAGCATCTGAAGGGCAAAGTGCTCCTCTTTGGGTTTCTTATCTGTAGTCTCAGCCCGGATGTGTGAAACTTTTATTTTCCGTAGGGAAATTTCCCTATAGATGCACATCGCTACTGGATTTTTATGAAAGCGAGACAGAAAAGAAAAAAAAAAAAAAAAAAAAGGAAGCAGTTGCCACCGTTCTGCCTTTGTTAAGAGACTTTCCAGTGAGTTTGCTGAGATGATGCAAGACTGTGGTTATTTCTAAATCTTGATGAAGTGCTTCAGACTATGATAGCACAATACATCAGCAACTCTGTGCACCTGGTTCCTGCTGCAGGCACTGACGCCGTTTCTAGCAGCAGCGGGATAGGGCCAGATCTACAACATCTGGCTTTGTGCAGCTGCCTGATGAATGCTCCTGATTTCTGCCCATCTCAGAGACCCGGCAAGCTTGCTGATTTCGGAGATTTTGGGACAAAGTTGGGGAATTAGGGAGAAGTTGGGTTGTGGACTAAATGGGTTAAGCAGCCTTACGCTGGAATATTGGGTGGAGATGTATATTTGCATATTATTTGCATTATAGATTATGTATTTATTTCACAGAGAGATTGCAAATGAAATCAGAGCCCTCTTTAAGTATATGATCTTACAGCCTCTACAGACAAGGCAGTTAAGTAACTGGAGAGAATAAATGTTTTTCCTCATTTTGTGAAGTGGAACAGGGTTTGCCAGCACTTGGAAATTTGCCACGTTGTCTGGTGCAGAAAATAATTTCTTGGAATAGTTATTTCTGTCTCATTGTGGCCTAAGAATACCTTTCTGCTACTTAGCTTTGTTCACTTACCGGAATAACGATGCTGACAAAATTCCAAGTGTTAACAAGGCCCAAGGGACAGAGAGAATTGTCTTTGGTACCAAAATGAAGACTGTCCAATCTGCATGAGATAATCTAGGCGGTAAAAATGAAATGCTAGACTGCACCTGTCTTCAGGCTGAATTCACACAGCAAAGAGTTAAAAGACAGTCTTCTCACTTTTTAATTTTTTTTTTTTTTTTTTTTTAACCCAGGTAATATATATCTACATTTGAGGGCGTTAAAGTCCCACCCAAAGACACAGGCCCGGGAGACTGACTTCTTTAGGCTGTTGAGGTCCAAATTTACCCCATTCGATGGCCAATGCTTACTGCCCAATTAGGCTAAAGTCCTCCTTATAGTGTCTCCAGCAGCTATGAAGCATGACCCCAAGCCCTGCGTCATCTGTGTAGACCCTTCCCAGCTCCCTGCATCACATCAAAGCCCATGGTGCTGTTGTTTGGAGTGCAGGGCAGGACGGGCAGGCTTGCACCGTCGGTGTGCGTGTGCAGAGCTGTGTGTGCCTGAGTGCGTGTGTCGGGTGTAAATGTGCAAGTGTGCGGGCAGCAGAATAGATTGGGGGTGGGTCTTGCAGCCCCATCATTTCCAGCAGGCCTCCACCTCGTGCATTTAAGAACCAATGGAAAGAAGGCGGTAATTCTTGCTACCAGGACTGGTGGCATTTTTTTCCTCCATCTTCCACATCCTTTGTCTCCTCCTGCAGCAAACGCCCTGTACTGCTACACCTGCGACCGGGAACAAAGCAACTGGAGGTGTTTGAAGGCCGAGAAGTGCTCGGACAAGGATGAGTATTGTGTGACCAATGTTGCCTCTGTAGGAATTGGTATGTGCTGGCTGCGTATCCTCTGATGGGGACTCGGGAATGGGATGTGGGGTTTTGACTGGGTTTGTTGTGGCTGCCCTTTGTTGATGGATGGGCTGAGGAGTCATGGAGAAGCACGTGTGGGAGGTGGAGCCCTTGCTAGCCCAGCCTGGCAGCGCTGAAATCCTCCTCCCCATCACACATCGAGATTGTCCTCTTTGGCTTTTGTTTTATGCCTCCATGGGAAGGCAGTGGACACCGAGAGAAGAAGGACAAAGAGAGGATCCTTCATAGGACAAACAAATAAATTTGAACCTTGATTAGACACAGAGATGAAAAGAAGCAGGTAGCCAGGATGGATGAGAGATATAGAAGGGAATAAAATTATTTCCTTTAAGCAAAGAAGTCAGAAAATGTGCTTTTGATTCAAGCATAAACAAGGATGCCATTGTTCACTTAAGAAAGCCTTGACATGAAGGTCCATGCTGGGAGGTGCCAGCTGCTCAGCAGGGATTTTGAATGCCTTGTGGAGCTGGCCACCAACAATTACTGGGCTGTGGTGGGGTTGGGGTGGGTCTCGTTGGCCATGCTGGTCCCTGGGGCTGTGGGGGACAAGGGGACTCATTAGCCCATCTCCTTCCCGCACAACATCAAGGAGCACTCAACAGCCTCTCATTGCTAATACTGCTCTCTCCCTTCTTTGGGCAAGGCTCTTTGTCTTTCTGGAAGAGGATCACCAAGAAGTGCTCTGAGACCTGCCCACGTCACAACTTCCTGCTGGGCCTGGCTTCCTACACCTCGTATTGCTGCCAAACCTTCTTGTGCAACCTCAGCGCGTGCCCGGGACCCAGGCTAGCTCGGGATTGAGATGGCAGGGGGGGTCCTGTGCCTGTGTCCTTCTTCACCTGCTCGGCGGTGGTGGGAGAAAGGGGCTCCTGAAGAGCACGGCCAGATTCTCCAAGGAGGGTATGGACACCAAGCATGCTGCAGAGTAGATAAAGTATTATGGTCATGACCTTCTGCCCTGTGTTGCCTCCTGACCTATCGCTTCTCATGCTTTAGCTCTGTCGCCCTGGTAGGTTGGTGGGGATGCGGCTGTGCTAAACCCTCTGCACCCTGGGGGAGGGAGATGCTGCTTCTGCACGTCCTGCAAATCTCTAGAGGGGTTTCTTCTCCAGTCTGATCTCAGAAGCTGCTGGGAGCCACAGCAGAGACAGCTTCCAGGCTCAGGGAGAGGGGTGTAGAAAAACAACACCCCTTCGGAGCCGGCTCAGGAGGGAAAGTGTGCAAATGCACAGGGTTGCTGCTGGGGAAGAGGAAAAACGCAGCTCTGTATGTAAAAGCCTGAGTCTGCCCTGGGTGCTAACCACGACTCTCCCCCCTGCACCCCTCACCCTCTCCATCCAGACTCTCGTTCCCAGCCCCCAAGGAGGGACAGTGACATTCTCCTGTGCCCCATTAACAACCACATACTTTTTTCCCGTTGACTTCACCTGCATCGCCATATTTTGATCAAAAAGATTCTTGTCCGCGCAGCCTGCGCATCTGTGCGTATCTGCGGGCTTTGTCCCCACCTCCACTTCCAGCAGCTGTCTTGGTTCATCCCTTTCACCGTGTTGCCTCTCTTGCTTGTGGCTGTTGGAGCTAAGTGGCCGTAGCCAGGGTTAGCACTGGACCTACAGCTTGGCCGTGTGACCTCCAGCAAGCCGTTCATTTACCCGTCCCTCCGACATCCCCCAAAGTAATGGCAGCATAATGAAAAGTATTTGCAGCATTTGGGTCGAGCTGCTGGGGAACAGTGGAGGGGTTTGTAAGAGAAGAATACAGATTTCAGAGAGGCCAGATATTTCATGTAGATGTTTCTAGAGGCTGCGGTGAAAGAGGGTAAAAGGAAGCTGAAAAAATGACACAGTGATGAGACCTCAGAGATTTTTCATAGCCAGAGGTGCTGCTGAATGCCTCTCCCTCCTCTCAGGCAGCAATTTTTGGAGGAGTTTTGCTCTGGTAAAAACATGGAAATGCTTAAATTTGGGTCAGCCCGGGCTCCCAAATCTGCAAAACATTGCTCATCCAAGGGATGACGCTCCACGCTGTGCTCCGAACCCAGCCCTGGTAAACAAGAGGGACAAAAGGGGTTTTGAGCTGTGCCGAGTGAGTCTGCCTTGGGCGAGTGCCCGTGGCTGCTCTGGATGAATGCCGCCTTCTGAAGTGCTGCATAAGAGATGCGCGCTCTCTTTTATTAATCGACTTCTACTTTCCTCTACCCCCTCCTTCGCAGCGTTACGCCATGCTGCCAGGGCAGATCGTGCCGAAGGAGCCGAGCTGGGTGATGCACCTCCCTTTACCTCTTCATTAGACCGTCATTTCTTTCATACCCCATTTAGGAATTTTTATTTTTCTTCCCGAAGCAATCCAAGTCCCCCCCTACAAAAAAAAAAAAAAAAAAAAAAAAAAAAGGGACTTTGTGTGTTTTCTTTCCTGTGTGCCGGAATTATTCAGCTCTCTGAAAGCACTGAAGAATCCCAGTTGGACAGGCTCTAATAATTAATATTTCATTGCATTGGATTTACACATCCTGCAGTAGTGGAGACAGAGTCCCCCCACAGCCTGCAGGAAAACAAAGTCAAGTAATTTTACTGCTTTAAAGCAAAACTGGATGTGTTGGTTGTTTGGGTTTTTTTTGTTTGTTTTTTTTTTGCTTGGTTAGGTCTGCCTTTGCTGCAGGAAAGCATTCTTGTATCCCATGGCTAATATAAGGGGAAAGAAATCATTCTGGGCATGGTTGGAGAGCAAAGGGTTATTTCCCTTGCCCAAAGGGCGCTGCAGCTCATGGACATGAAAATCTGCCCTCCTCCCATGGTGCAAAGCTACCCTGGTGGCAATTTCTTCTCTCCAATACATCTGAGATGTGCAGTGAAGAAGAAGAAGAGGTGGTGTGATTCCTGACCACTGATTTTGACCAGGAATTAGGGCCAGAGAGATGGCAGTCGTTAAAACGTGGATGAGGCTCTCCAGAAAATTACCTTGTGCCCCTTGCTGTGTTGTGCAAGGCAGAATTCACCCCATGGGTTTGAAATTTAGTTGGAGGACCCTAAACAGAAAGGGGTTGTGCACTGGGTGGGAAGGGACTAGTTGTTAACATGGTTATAGACTGCACTGAGCTCCTCTGAGCACATTCAAAGATGTGACGGTGATGGGAGAGGTGGGAGAGAGGTGAAGAAGCCCTTCTGCAGGGCTCAGGTGCAGCATCTGAGTGGTTTGGGGCATCCCCCAGTGCAAAAGAAACAGCTCAGCTGGAGATGGTTCAGGGTTTGGAAGAAAGATGCTACAGAGACTCATCACGGTGTTATTGCGGGCTTTTGGGGAGGGGAAACCCGACCAGGCAGACATGGGGAGAGAGGGGAGAGGGGGCTGTTGTCCTCCAAATGGGCTACCAGACCCTGGTGCAAGGCATGGAGAAAGAAGCGCCCAAGCACAGCACTTAGAAGAAGCAGCATAAAGCAAACACGGAGTCCTTTTAGTGGCTGGAGCTGGCAGGCACAGGCAGCACTGAGATGAAGCAACAAACAATTACAAATGGCGCAATAAATGCGTGGTTGCAGATAATAACCAGCGTTTTAAATACCTAAGAGATGGGTTGGATGGACATCAGGGGGAGTTGTGACGTGGTTCTTTCGGGTCTAGGCTGTAGGACTGTTGGGCTCGCTGCGTGTGGTTGTCACCCTTCCCTTCTGCTGTCAGAGCTACCTCGAACAGCCAAAGCCACGTGAAAAATTTAGCCCTGCGTGTGGGCAGGGCTGGAGGAGCGCTGGGAGGGAGGCTGCAAGCAGGATGGAGCTGGCAAGCCTTGCAGACAGGGGCAGAGGTCCCCACGGGTGGTGGCCACCAAGCCTTCCTGTGGCCAGACACCCACGCCACCGAGATGAGTATCACGCTGGGCAGGAAATCTCCAAACCTCCTTTCTGAAGCACAGCAGCACCTGACGTTGCTTAATTCTCTGCAAGGCTTGGGGCGACGGGGGGTGAGGTCCGTGTTTTGTTTGTGGGGTGGCCAACATCATCGGGAGGCTGGTGAGACCTGCTGGGTCACCCAACCCGGGGAGAGAGGGAGGGAGGGAGAGGGGAGAAGTGACCCCTGGCTGTCCCCAGCAGGTCCCAGGGTGTGCTGCAGGATGGACAAACACCTCTTTGGACTTGTGACAGCTCCCTGCTGGGGGCTTGGGTGGAAATGCTGCAGGAAATTCAGCTCGGGGGGGAAATTCCAGCTCTCTGGGGAGACCAGGAGTTTTCCAAACCAAAGCTAGAAGCTGTAATGACCTTCTGGGGGCAAGACACATTGTTTGTGGTACAAATCAAGATAGTTGTTTATTTAAAAAAAAATATTTATTCTCCTTTTCTTTCTTGACTTTTGATTTCACAAGAGATACTTGATTTTAAGCATTGCAAACTGAAATGGCTTTTGAGGACTCGTGCTGTGGCCTTCATTCACTTGCCTAATGCTGGATGCCTCAGTCTGTGTCTGCCCCCCAGGGTGCAGAGAGCTGGACAATTCTGGGGTGACTCCCCCCTCCCAGGACAGGCATCAAAGACAGTGCTTGAAGGGCTCAGTGGAGACCCTCAACTCTTTTCAGAGGTCCAGGGCAAGTGAGTCAGAGAGAACTACTGTTTACATGCCTAAATTAGTTGCTTTGAATAGCAGCCTCAGTGAGAGAAAAAAAAAAAAGAAAAAAAAAAAAGAAAAAAAGGGGGAAAAAAAAAAAAAAAAAAAAAAAAGAAAAAAAGGGTGGCAAAATTATCAAGAAAACACACCTATGAGAGGAAACTTGATGGGAGTTGGCACATTACCATAAAACTTCCATGTCTGCTGCACTAACGAATAGTCTGAATTATGGTGGGGGGAACAACAACAACAACAACAAATCACTTTCTTGGGAAATCCTGGATATTTTCCAGCACAGAGAGCCAGACTAAGCCCACGAGAGGGAGCTGGTGCCTCTGCGCAGTGCCGGACTGGCCACAAAATGCTTTCTGCTGATGCTCCTGGAGCAATTTCCAGGGAAAAAAAACCAAACAAACAAAAAAAAACCCAACAAACCAGTAGCCATGGCGGGGGGATGAGGGGGTTCGGCTGGAAGCAGCCCTGGGAAGGATGGTTGCGGGACCGCGCTGCTGGTGCCAGGCACGCTGAGCTCTGACAGCCGGCTCTGGCCAGCCTCCAGCGTCTGCTCACTCCCACGCCGGGGACGTGCCTTGGTTTGGCTGTGCAGGGTAATTCGAGTGTATCTAATATCAGCTCTTGGGGTGCCTGTGCTAGAAGAGGTGGCATTTGCATCTTGAACCCCAAAGCTGGTGTTGAGACCTGCAAGGTTTCACTCCAGAGCCTGAGGCTGTGGGCTGCTTGGCAGTGGGGTGCAACTCTCTGTCCCACCCTCTCCTACGGCTCGGTGCTCTTGGGGCATCCCCAGAATTGCTGGGCTGATGTTGGGCTGGGCCTGGGCAGCATGAAGGGAACATTATTTTTTTGGCATCTATGAGGTCCTGGGGATTAAAAAGGGGGATTGTATTGGAGGGTGTTGTCCTTTTCCGTCCCATTATGGGTGTCTCTGTTCCCTTTGTCTGATTTTCCTTCACATTCCCTCTTTGCAACGACTCCTTGAACATCTTCCCACCTTTCTAATATTGAACTCCCCTAACTTCCTCCATTCCTCTCAGAAATGGTCTCAGCCAAAAGAACAAGACTAGCACCTACAACCCACCAGGCATGCAAATCACGGAAATTCCACATTTTTCCTCCTCACCCGTGGGTTTTAACCCTGTCCTCAACCCACTGCCTGATGGCCTCAGCAACTGTATGAAAGTAGAGACAGGGAAAAGTCCACGAAGGCCTTTGGGGAGAAGGTGGTCAAGGCAAGACTTCAAACCAAGCCCTACCACCTCTTCCCCATGTCTGACCTTGGGAGAGTCGTTCGCTGCCTGACTCATGTGCTGAAGCTGGAGATAGCAGCGCAAGGCTTCTCGCCCTGACCTGGAGGGCTCTTTGCATCCCAGCACTCAGCATCTCGGTGATGTTTCACCCAGTTGGTCCAGGGGTGTCCTTACAGCGGGACCAGGAA